AGGGTTTAAGTTTGGGGGGGTTTAATTAAAACGTGAACATCTCTAAAAACCTCCAACATCTAGGCAGACTTTCGAAGCAAGTTCAATTTCTATAAGTTTTTAGAAATTAATTTAAAAAACATAATTTTTTTATAAAAATATTTTTAAAAAAATTCCTTTTTTTATGAAAACTTAATATCAAAAATATTATTAACTTATTTAGTATTTTTTATAATAATAATTCTTCAACATCTAGACGAAATTATTATTTTTGAAACATGATTTAATTTCCTCCAAAATCTAAACAGGAAAAATAAAAAAATATATATTATTATTATTATTTAAGCATTTTTAATATTTTTTAGTTATTATCCTATATTGTTCTCATTTTATTATTATTAAAAATAATTAGATATTTATCTTAATAAATTTAAATATTTTATCATGCATAAATATAAAAACTTAAAATAACAAAAATAATAATATATATAAAAAATTAAAAAATTAAAAAAAAAATTTTACCTGAATCAGACCAGTCAACGGTCCGATCAACGCTGGTTTGGATCGGTCTGACCGATTCGGTGGTTCAATCAGCTGTTAGGGCGATCCAGCGGTTCGACCGGTTCATCTGAACCGACTGAAGGTTGGCTGAGACGGGTCGATGGGTCGGTTTGCACGGATCTCGGGACGAATTTGGTCCATGCGCAGATCCTCTTATGTTTGAAACGGCGTCGTTTTGGTTTTATGCTCAAAACGACAACGTTTTGCTTCTATGTTTTCTATAAAAGTCAGCAATTTTTTTTTAGTTCATTTTTTTTGTTTCAGGAAAAAAAAAAGGGAAAGTGCTTTGGAGAAGAGTTCCAGGGCTTTCGCCGTCCAGCCGCCAGAGTGTCGTGTCAATCATCGCCTGGTTCACCATTGGTGGTGGTCACCGATGGTCAAAAACTTCAAAACTAACCAAGAGGTTCCGTTCAACCTCCTGAGCTTAGATCTGGTGCCCCTTTCATTGGAAATAGCCTCGATTCGCGTAGATCTGATTTTGAAGTTTTCGGTATTCTTTTCTTTCTTTTTTTTTTTTTCAAAAACTAACTGATACCCTTCTTTTTTAGTGCAGGTGACTCGGCGCTGGGTTCCTCCCTGCGGGGAGGACTGTGTTTTATTTTTTTTGTTTTTTCTTTTACATTTTCGTAGATCTGTTTGTTTTTTTGTTTGGATATTTGGAGGGGTTGTTTGCATTTTTTTTTATGTCTAAGAGGTTTTTTATAGGAGTGGAATGCGCGTATTTCTGGTGTTCTTGAGCGAGGGGATGTCCGAGAGTTCCAGAAAGACTTGAAAGGAGGAAGATCGAGTGTTTTATGTGATTAAAAATTGTGGTAACGTGTGCTGATGGAACCATAGGGTTTTAGTGAAGGGATTGGATGAGGGGGGTGGTATGATGGTTAGGGTAGTGGCATGATGGCTAGGCTGGCCTAGTAGGTTATGGGTGGCCAACAATGCCATGTACGACACCCATTGGCACCAACCCTTTCCTTTTTGTTTCTTCTTCTGTTTGGATTTTTTTATTTGTCTCTCTTTCTTTCTTTTTTTATATTTATTTTTAATTTAATTAGTTTTTTTAATTAATTTTTTTAATTATTATTAAACAAATATTATTATTATTATTAAAAAATATAGATCCAGAAAAAATCCAGTGTCTACAAGTATGAACTAAAATGGCTTTCTTTTTACTATCCTTTTTATCATGTGGGATGTGTGGCTGTAATTGTTAGTCTTTTTAAGTAGTTGATTGATTTCTTGTGTCATTTGCAGAGGAACTAAGATAAGCTGAGCTAGACAAATACAACAATGCAGAACCAAAATGGTTCAATGCATAGAAAACAAAGAGTAAAAGAGAAAACCAATTTGATCTTTCAAAGTGTAAGCTAGTCTATTATAAAATCCCTAAAAATACAGCTTTGTTGACTCACTTCTTGTTACTCACTTCTTGTTAACTAACAAGTCATTATTTTCTGCCAGTCACTAGCCAGTAACATTCGTTACCCAGTGTTTTTTCCTTCTTGAAAAACCAAAGGTAGTGACTGAGAGGCAGGGGTTATATTTCCTTCTTCATTGCCACCTGCTTACCATCCATCTAACATCACCAGGAGTTCTACCTCTAAAACTCCCAAATTTTTATTAACTGAATTCGAAAAAAGTACAATCAAACCCATAACATGATTTAACTTAGCAAAGTTTCTTGGCCAGTTAACTCCTTACCATGATGGAGGAATGCAATGCAATCAGCCTCTTATGAACCAAAGGCTAATTCAAGAAAATGGAAGGGACAAGAGAAGTATACCAGAAATATTCTTTCCATGGTTAGCATGTCCTTATATGATTCTATCTATCCACCAGAAGCCATGAATCATATATATAGCACCAATGAAACTTTTGAAGTTTGATGACCTAAAACACAGAACCAGGCTAGAAACTCCTAAATAGTACAGTAGTAAGCATATTCCTATCCATCAAAAGACTATCAATCATGTATTCTCTGATATTACTTATTTATGAATTATGATGAGAGAAATCACACAAACATTTATAGAAGAAAAAGATTGAGGTGAAAATTTCATAATTTATAAGTAAAAAACATACAATTCAATGATCAAATAGGAAGATGTGTAGAGCATTAATGGAGCAACCATTTTATTATGTCCTCTCTTACAATTGTATTAAGTCACAGATGCCAAAAGCCGTACCATGCATACATACATACATACATACATACATACATATATATATATATGCGTCAAAACCCAAACCAATTTTACATTGGCAACTTGTAATACATCATTAAAAAGTGTATAAAAAAGAGGAGCTTTCAACTACTAAACAAAATTTTCTTCCTTTGATGATTGTCTTCAATGCTGCAACCAGATTGGCCTTAAGGAACATTGGGGGGGAGAGAGACGGTCGAGTATTCCTTCACAACCCCTGATAAGATCGTTAAGGGAATCAGTAGAGAAGAATGGCTGTTGCAGATCCCTTGGCATGTAGGATGAGTAAACAGAATAAGCACCTGTCCGCCTCTTGTGCTTCTTCACAATCTTGATCAACCCTGTTACAGTTTATTGTAGTGAAAAATCAGCCTAGGTGCATTTTAAACAGTTAATTTTATTCAGTATTTCTACAGATATACATGATTAGAAAGTGTATATGCCTGCTAAGTTAATGACACTATAATGGCGTAGCATCACCATCTCTGAATGAAAATCCAAAATTTCCTTCCGTAATTCCAACATTTCTTCATTAACATTTATGTTTTCAGCCCTGGTTTCCAGCTCCTGAAATACCCGAAAGACAGCAATTTCTTTCAATCAGAATGAATTTCTGGCACAAACAATTACCAAAACTAAGTTTTGGTTAATTCTTTTCAAGGGAAAAACGATCAAAGACTTAATATTATTACCTTGAATCTGATGATATAATCATCCTCTTTGTCGATGTAAAATGTATTGATCTTGTCGAGTTCCCATTCTAATAACAGGGTGAAGCCCATGTCTTCTGTTGCTAAATTCCACTCATATCTTCCACCATCTGAAAATTTTCCTCTGCCTGATCTTGAACTTTTCTTTCCATTTGAATGGGGTTTTATCAGTTTCACTTTCTTCTTTAATGCCTTGTAAGACATAAACTTTTGCTCCCATTCAGGTAAGCTTTTTTCTATCTCAGCTCAATGTTTTTTTTCCATGTTTCATTTCTTCCTGTCAAAGTTTCAATGATTGGTCAAGGGGGTGGGCAGAAAGAATTACATATAAGAAGCGTGAACACGAGTACGACAGGATGACGAATGCGGTGACACCATAAGTTTTAAAAATTAAGGACATGAATAATGTAGGACATTGTAATAAAACAATATTTTTTATATATTATAATCATCCTCTAAGAATATAAAATAAATACTAGGTTGATTTTTAAAAAATAATTAATCTTGTGAAAAAAAAAACTAATGATAAAGACAATAATATAAGGACATATAATATCATTATCCACATAAGAATTTTTTTTTTTTTTACGTATTTCCACGTTTCACAAGCAAGAAGTTAAAAAGGGATTATGCTTTCATATATATATTAAAAAAAAGCATTATATTCTTTAGAATCATAGGCAGATATTCGCATCACCACAATGCTGTTTTCGACAATTAAGACCTCTCCGTGAATTATCTTTAAAAGGGACTGTTTGGCTGGAAGCTTGGAACCATGAAGGTTATTACGAGGTAGATTGTAGAATATCCCATGACGCCATTGAAAAACTTGTATATTCCATTATGCTAAAGCAGAATTTGAATATACCACAATGTTGCTGCCAATATTTTGTTATCGTTCTTATTTTATTATTCAATTAAAACTCTACATCACGTCTTCCTCAAATCCATCAAAAAACCATAAGACTCTTGTTAGGTATAAATGTTTTCTTTGTCTTAATCTGACAAACTAGAATGTTTTTCTTAATTATTTGGAAGGTTTTCTTTATCTTGCATCAGTGAAAAGGTTATCACCAATGTAACCTTTCCATGCAATGTGTCTTGAAGGTTTTCTATGTTTCCGACATCTGAAAATTTTACTGTAAGAATACTGGTTTTGCACTTTGTGAAAGGTTTTTCATACCATAGGAAATTAAGAAAGCTGGAAAACCAAAAAAACCTAGTACTTGGGTGTTCTTTCTGTGTTAACTTTTCTTTTATGTCATAACTTGTCCGGCGAGTTGGTCCCCGGCAGCCCAGGACAGTGGCAGTACTTATGCAAGCTACCAATGTTTCACGAAAACATAGATACTGAAAACCCATACCCAGAAAGATGTTCAAAATCCCAATCGTAATATTTCATAAGCACTTCATGAAGATATAGAATGATGTCAACGATTCCATTTAAGAGAATGTAACAAATTATTAACATGTCTTACAGGAAAGGCACAATACAAAAATTTCTTAGGCGGTTATATATATATACATATATATATATATATATATATCCAGTTATTACGATAAAGAAAATAATAATAAAAAATTAATGTTTCCAAATTGATCATAACTTCAAATCTATAACAGTTTATGGATTTCCTAACAATGTGAGAATATCGATCCAACAGTTCCATAAGCACCAACCAAAATAATGAAAAATATCTGTATTTCAGATAAGGAAGCATGATATTACAGTCACTAGAATGGCAAATTCATACCACAACATAGGATATACAGTGCCTTTCTATGGAGAACAAGACACTGAATTTACTGTCGAGAAATGGGCAGTGACGGCAAGGCACACGCAGCTCAAAACTCAGTAGGAGGTTTCAAACGTACCAATCTCCTGATCGTGTCTTTATCAGTATGCTCCAGATATCCCTTGAGAAAATTTAAAAAAAAAAAAAAAAGAAGCCAGGGGAGTCAGTAGCGGTATCAACAAGTAAAATGCAACAAGATGCTAATTAACAGCCAGGGGAAAAGGCAGTTTCTTGGCACAGAGATATAACGGGTGCTTAGGCGTCATAAGAAAGTGAGATGGCACATGCTACATGAATTCAAGCTTTTCAATAATCATGGGCAGTGACAAATCATAATTACTTTTCTTAAGCCTCACTCAAGTTGTGCATGTTCCAATAAGAAACAAATTGTCCAGCTTCTGATCAATCAGAAACAAAAATTCTATGAAATTTTTATCCTCTTATAATGCTAATCAAACTCATACTTAACCAACAGTTGACACCTTAGTGGAAGAAATGCCAAAACTATTGATAGCAATACCAATTTGTCACCTCACCTTCCAAACAATTTCATCCAAAGACAAGCATATCTTTCCATACTTATCAAGGAAAAGGCGCTCTGTTGGTGGCTTCCCACATACATCCTTCACGGCTGAGGTTATAACAAAGATCACTTCTGCCACTAGAGCAAAAACATTCAGGAGATAAATTAGTAATAAATTCAAGCATGTAGAGCGATGCACCTGTTGAGTTGATATATTATTTGATACACTTTTAAATGCACTACAATCATCAAAGTGTTAACTTTCTTTTTTCTTTTTTTTTCCCTTTTATTTGCAAAGTGTTTCTTTCATTTTCAATCCAAAAAAAAAAAAAGCAATATACATTTTAAATTACAGACTATAATAATGGGTCACTCTATGGGCCAAAATGCTTGCATGTTAAAGACAACTAAGAAGCTTATCCAACTAAGAAGAGCATAGAGATATGAGAATGTCAAGATGGGGGAAAACCATTGCTTTTTAATTGCACATCATTCAAGAAGATTATTTCAAGGAACCTATGACCCATAGATAAAGCCCTCTCACCTCAAACAGACCGTAAACCACATATTTTTTAATCAAGGAGTTTGTAGCTTCTTCACCTTTCACAACTTAGGTTGTATATGTAAAGAATGTAAGATAAACTTACATGCAAGTTCATCATATTCATCCTTGCCAACAACATAAACACTGACATCTCCAAGCACCGTATAAACAATGTAAACAGACCTGATAAAAGAACAAACTGGTCAGTTCTGTAAAATGATATCACTTAGTCAAAAAGTAATGCTCTTATCAAATGGATATTAGAACTCCCTATAATAAACTTCTAAGCCACAAATATTACGATAAGCAAGCTAAGCTCTAACTTAACAGACAAACTAATCATAGCTATGATCTTGTGGTATGGCATTGCCGCAAATTATACGCCCAATTGCAGAAGTTGAAGAAAATCTAGCCCTAACATTAAAGCTGCGAAAAAGATGATAAATATTATTATTTTATTCTATAAGTTCTAAATGCATTTGGACAGATTATGAAATTATCACAATATGCTAGGCCTTGGAGATTAAATATTTTCTCGCAATATGCTCAAGCAATAACTGTGAATTACAGACCATGAACAACAATCTATATTTCAAATAGTGAATAATAGAAGTAGACTGTTGGTTTTTCTTTTTGTAAGTCTTTGTTTACAAGGTGAATTCTATCACTTTAATCAAGTGTGTCATTTGGACATTGGTTCATTCAACATTCAACACGATTAACTTAATTTCAGGTTAAAAAACCTAAAACATGTAAGAAGAAAAAGATTAAAGCTAGTGCTTGAGGAAGGTATTTTGATTTAGAAGGATTCATTTCCCAGTCAGCAAATGTCCTAAGTAGCCTTTTATGCTGAAAAAGGGTTTCCTCTTACTTATTAAAGTTATCAGACCTCAGAGACAAAGGTGCAATTTTGGAAAATAAGTCCAGTAAATAAGGCATGTAGATTAATTGGTTATGCTATCTACTACTTGATAAACTTTATCTACATGTTTAATGCATTTGCATCAGACCTAGAACAAAAAAGATGTATTCATTGCTGGCTACATACTTGTCTATTGGCAAGCTTATTAAATCATAGCCATCCATGTCCTTAACAGTTGACTGTCAATTCTGAGCTAGTTGCAGATGCATGTGTTTCACATAGTTCAATGAAGTTTCAGTTTGTAGAAAAAATTTTTTAAAAAGAGATGGGCTGGTATAAAATTTAACTGATTTATAGCAGATTTAGTCCTTCCAACTAATCCTCATAGAATAATTCTAAAGGCAATTTAGGAATGGAAAACAAGCAGTATAGCTACAAGATAGATACTAAAATCTAAAGTAAAAGAAGGATGTTCATACTTGTGAGAAGCAACAAGTAGCTCTTCATTTTTGACACCTTTAAGATTATCCGCTCCCAGTTTCACTAGGAAAGATCTCCAATGCAGCCGTTCCTCAGCTGGAATTCCATTAAAGCTGCAACAAAACATAATCCCTGAGGTAATGCTCGAGAATCTTATGAAGAAGAGATAAAATATCAAGCTCAACAATCATTTAAAAGCAACTGAGACTGCATGTTCCTCAAAGGACAGACCAATATTAAAGAGAGACAAAGAGAAATAGTAATTTATAAGGACAAACTACTTCGCTCTGATAGAGACTGAGACTACCGTTCGTGGTAATTATAGGAGTCTTGGGATTGACAAACAGAAAATCATGGATAAACTCCTAAGAGCAGCTACTTGATGAAGAAATATGATCAATAGCTTCTTTTTCTGTCAGCCTTTCTCCATGATACCTTTACAGAAACATAACTGGGTAATGAACCTTTGGCTACTTCTTAAGCACACACCTCTCCTAGTGACATATGGATGACAAGAAAAGCAAGACATTTGAAACTATGGTCCTTGTTTGATCTTGGTTTGATTTAGGACCTCAGTTGAACTTAGAATAGGCAGTATTATCTTATTATGTTTCTTAAGTTAAATCTCACAGGTTAATTTAGGTTTAAAGTCTCAAGTCTATAAGATTAAAGGGAGTGAGACAACATACTTGCAATTCATTGGCAAGGGGTGGAATGATCAACTATAAGGCAACACCCATTGGTCCCAATATATCTCATTTCCTCTTCATTCATGTTTCAACCTCTAAAGCAAGCATCATACAACAAAATCATGTGTTTTTCAAACCCCACCGATTTCAAGTTTCTACCAAAAACCAAATCAACCCAATTCAAATCCCATCCAGAGAGCAAAATGAAATCATTCAATTCCCAGAAGAAAACCAATCACCCATTAAAGATCTACCTCTATATAAAACAGATTCAAGCATGATAACTGATTCAACAAACAAAAAACCATAAAGAGCAAACCCAAAACAATCAACAAGAGAATTCAACGCAAAAACGATATGGGTATGATCAGAGAAAATGGATGGGGCAAAGATCTATTTCCGTACCGTTCAACTAAGATGTTCCCTTCAGAGTTTGAGAATAACACTGCGAGTATCATCTCGATCTATCTCCCTCTCTCAACTACTTTCTTTTCTCTGCTTTGCTGTGTTACGCAGAGAGATACGAGACATTGCTTTGTCGTCAATCGTTAGTTCGCCTTTCTGTTCGGGTCGGTGTCGGTTCTGCTGTCGGGTCGGATAAATTTTATCTGGTCAACTTGGACCTTTTAAAAAAAAAAAAAGTGCAAATATCGCAACATTTTATTGGTTTAATTATAAAATTTTATTGTTCAAAATAAAACTCTAAACATTTTATTTATATAAATAAATTAATTTCCATAAATTTTTAAGCTTTTGGTTAATTGTAATGATAAATTGTGGTCAAATTAAGTGGGATAAAAGTATTTGGAAAATAGCATTATTGACAATATAAATACTAATCAATTTCAAGCCAATAATAATTTGGGTGGATTTTGGATCAAATTGCCATCCTTAATTTGTCATCAATTTAGAAGGGATGGATCTAGATCGTGGAGAAACAAAATATACTCTCACTTTTCACCCTTGTTATTATTTCTATATTACAGTTTGAGTTTGTTTTTATTTGTTATTAGTATAATTTTTAAATTTTATAAATAAAATTAATAAACAAAAAAATATATCATTTTTTAATTAAAAATTTTTGTTAAAAAAAAGCTATAATAAAAAAAATGACTCAAAGTCCATTCGAATTTTATCATAATTTTAATGTGATACAATTGAACTCATCACAAATACTAACTCCAATAATATTTATTTAATATAAAATTTTCATCCAAAATTTTTTTAATAGAAACTATAATAATTTCTTTTAATAACAATTACAATAATTTTTATTACATATTTCATTCTCATCATAATTAATTTCATTGTTTATCCAAATAAAACATAATATATCGTTTGAATAACAAAAGAATGGTGCGGTAGAGCCACTTTCAACATATTGTACCTACTATTTGTAATTGGAGTTGTAAGGTCCAATAGGAAAATTTTGTTTCTATTGGAGCATCTCTTCCCCCTTGTACCCTTGTTTTCTTTTTCAAAAATTTTTATAAAGATTTTCAATTATTTATAATGATTTTTTTTCTAATAACAATTCACATCATTATTATTGTTATTTTTGTATTCAAATATATATATAGTCACTAATTTTAATTTTATTATTATAATATTTAATTTTATCATTATAATAATTAATTTTACATCTATCATTATTTTTAATTATTATTTTTAATTTCATTAAAATTAATCTCATCACCCCTCCAAATAAATCTTTAAAGTCTGAAATTTTAGGATACTATTTGAACAAAGAAAGTAATTTTCCCTCCTAACCTTGAATCTAAGATCAAATCCTATTTTTGACTATCTCATTTTAACTTGTTTAAAGATTTGTTTACTCGTTTAAGCTTGAAAATTTACTTAAATTAAAAGGATTTGGACATAAATTTTACGCTTATTAAATGAACTTGAGCTCAAATTTTGGATAAAAGTTTAAGGTTCGAGCCAAATCAAAACCAAACTATTATTATATATTTTTTATTTATATTTATATTACATAAAATTAATTAATTAATTAATATATATTAATATCCTATGTTTATATATATTAATCACATTCAAATACTTAATTAAATTAACAAAATATATTTTAAGTTTTATTTTGATTATTTATTTTTATCATAATTAATATCTAATATTAAAATTATTTTTATTTTTATTTAAAAAAGAATTAAAATATGGGTGGATCTTGAACAAATTTGGATAAAATCTTTTAAAAAACGATTGATCTGGACAGTAAAATAAGATCACTATTTCGATTCGAATTGAACCTTAGTAAATTTGAAGTTTATACTATATATAAACCCACTCAGAATTCGATCGGGCCGACCCATGAGAAGTTCTACCTTAAACTCACGTGACTTATATTTGCCAATTATTATAGGTTAGCCCAAGGATCAGATTATTCCTTCTCCTCCGATGAAATCATGGATCAGTTTCCAAAATCAAGCCTACATAAAATTCAAGTTTGCAGAAAGACTTGCTTTTACTTTCTTTTCCAATGTGGTAATTTTCATTTCATGCATCAGTGTTACCACAACAGTGACAAACAACTATACTTTTTTTATATATTGCATAAAATGAAAATAATATATATATATATAAGCCTTCATGAAGAAAAGTATACCTTTTTTTTTTTTAAATCCCATTTCGAAGTCACATAACTTCAGGAATATAATATTCTCCCTCTAATTTAACCATTCTTTTGGAACTACATAAACTTGAGTTTCAAGAGAACCGAGATACCATGATCAAGTTGGCAGCAGTTTGAAGAGCATGTGGATATAATAATGGGACACACTACAAAAAAACTATTCTATATTGGCGCTCGAAAAATAGTCAATAAAATTTAAAAATCTATTGGTATAGCATAATAAATCTTATAATAACGGTCAAATATTTATTCTGATGAATTTATTGTCATCAGTAAATCCCTTGTTGGTATAAGACCCATACTAACGGTTTTTAAGTTGTCGAAATATGTAATAGAGATATACTGACAGTTTTAATCCATCATTATATGTATAGCTGTTGGTATAGCAACTATTATGTTTTTTGCATTATACCTTTACCGATGGTTATTCCCGTCAATATAGACTCATATTTTTAATTTTTTCAATTTATACTGACGGTGTCTTTGTTAATATATTTTTTACCAATAGTCAATACTCGTCAGTGTAGCCTTATATGTTTTAACTTTTATCGACCGTCCATAATGACTGTCAGTATAACTTAAAATATTTTAATAGTAAAATGTATTGATATAAATTTTAAGACATTGATAAAAAAAAAAATTTTGAATTCTATTTTCAATTATTAATATTAATTTATTTATAATCAAAATAAGATATGCTTTCATGTAAAATTAAAATACACAAAAAAGTAAAAATATTTAATAATATTTGAAATAAAACAACAACCAAATTGTTTTATAATCTACAAATTTAAAATAAGTCAAGAACTATAATCATTGTAAAAATCTAAAAAAAAAAAAAAACGTTAATATCTATGATTGGATGTCTACAAACATGATGCTTAAAGTAAATAAACAACTCCCTACAATAAGATGATGCCATCCCAAGTTAGTCCAAATACATGTTTAATTAGTAAAACCCAATAAAAAATTTCATGTCAAATTAAGCTTTTACTAGTCAATTAACATAGGAAATGTTCCTAAGGTCAAGTCAAGCATATCAAAAACTATAAACAAATGAATCGCTGATAAGATTTTATCCCTTGTTATAGGCTCCCCCTGTTTCACCAACCTAAGCAATTGTTGAAGTTGTTGAATTTTTAAAATTGTTTGAAAGTTTCTAAAGAGTTGTTGCCCGCCATCTAGATAAGATGGATCTAGAATTTTATTTATAAGCTAATTATCATTACCTACATACAAGGAAAATATGTAATTTAATAACTAAATTTTAGGAAATTTTTTTTAACAATGCAATTTACTATTTTCTTGTACCTGCACCAAGATTGTAAATGTGTTGAGTCATTACTTGCAAAGATTTAGGTGTTTTTTTATACAAATTGTGTGAACCCCAAACATTCAATCATCTTAAACTATTATTTCTTCATAAAACATTTAATCATCAAAGCCAATGCTAATAGAAGGACAAAAAATTAGGCATGCTTGATTAAACTAAATTGAAATGCAAAAAATGAAAAATACCTTTGAAAAATAACAAGAGTCTTAATGCTTCAACTTTGATTCAGCTCTAAATCAAAATGGGTGCCGATGGGTTTAAGTTTGTAGGGTCAGTAAAAAGTAGAAAGAGTTGGTGGGAGATGGAGATTAGGTTATGGGTATCGATGGGTGGAGAGAATTGGTGAGAGGTGGAGATTAAGTATATAAAGTCGGCGTTAGGTGGAGGGAAAGAAAATAATTTAAACATTTTAGGTATTGTTCAATACGTTTTTGGTTAGAAACACCTTATATAATCTTATTCCATTTTTTGTAAAGGATTATTTAATGTATTTTTTTACCAAAAACGCCTTGAATGATCCCCTCTGTGAGTGAATTATTCTTAGTTCAAATAATACCTTTTAATTATAAAAAAATTAGAGTAGCTCAATCGGTTAGAAGATACAACTATTAACCATAAGGTCATAGGTGCTAAAAACGCATTAAATAATCTCCTCTTAGAAGGGATTATTCTTAGTTTAAATAATACATTTTCATTATTTAAACACTAGAATAGCTTAATCGGTTAGAGTATACAGCTATTAACCTTAAAATTGTAAGTTCGATCCCTCTTTTTAGCATTTTTTGGGTTTGGTAAGAGATTATTCAAAGAGTTTTTGGTTACGCCCCCTAATTTTTTTTCCAAATAAAAGCCAATAGTTTTTTTCTATTATTATTTTGAGCCTATACTAATGTTTACATTAATAACCGTCAGTATATAATATATTTATACTTTCAAAAAAAGTTTATTTATACCGATGGTTAAATAAAATGTTAGTATAAATATAATATATTCTAATGGTATTAAAAATCCGTTAGTAAAAATCTATTTTACTAATACAATTTGATCATCAATATAATCAGGTGTCAATATATAGAGAATTTTTTGTAGTGACAACAACTGCTGCATTGCATCAGCTAACGAACCTAGGAGCAATTTGATGGATAAGTTAAGCATTTGGCCTAAAGTTAAACATATAATTCCTGGTGGCCTCCCCTACTTTTAGCTGCTTTGTCGTTATCTCTGGAATAAATTGAAAGGGCCATTGACATTAGCAAGTCTTAAGAGCTGTTCTATAACTATCATTCTTTTTCTGACTAAACAATTCATATCAGTGCCAAAGTGCAATAGAAAAATAATTGATGCATTTGTTAGAATAAAAGATTTACTCTAGCAAAGTGAAAATATAAAAGGTCTAGAAAGATCTAGAGCTAAAAATTCATAAAAACCTCACATGAAATTATAGATAAATTGCATGCCAAGCAAGCCTAATTTTTTAAACTATGTAATTATGAAAGCTAATTATATTACTAAAATTAAATTTGTAGCAGCAGAAAAGAGTCAAATCAAACAACTCTAATTAAGAAGTGTGGCTTATCATGAATTTAAATGAGCTACAGCAGATTGAGCGAGTTGACAGATGTTAAACATGGCTTTAAGCCACA